TAAGATTGCCTACTGACTGTTTAACTTAGAAAAAACTTTTGAGAATAATAAATGCAAGAAACTTTAAAAAACTGGAATGGAATTATTCGGTCTAAAATCTAATTTTAGATTTTATTATGGTATAGCTTTTTATCTCTCAAGTTTTATCTATAACAACAATTTTCTTTGAGTAATTCTGACTTTGGGGAAGAAAAGAAAGGAAATGATTTATAAGCAGTAGTCTCAGTGTCCTTCATTACCATGCTATCACCCACATTGTCATCAGTATCTTAGCTCTATTTTCTTTGGACCCTGAAATTGGTTGGAAAATTCATCATCGGTACTCTAGAGTTTAATACTGGAAGGAAAAAAAGTGGTTTTGTGGAGCCATATGTGGGATTCCAGTTTACCATTAAAAACGTGCAGAGTAAAGAAGATATTCTTCTTTTGATCCCTGTAGAAACTCTACACAGGTTCTTTATATTTTGGTAGATATGTGCATATAAAATAGGCTACTTGAATTATAAGTTTTCTCCCGGCTGGTACTATGGCTCTGTAGCAGTGAAGTAGTCTTCCAAGAAGGACTGAATATATTCAAATGTTGATCTTTCATCAGGGTCCTTCTTCCAACAGATTCATCAATTCATGGAGGGATTCTGGACAGCCCTGAGGGCAGGACATCCTGTATCCTTGCTCCACCTATTCCAGTACTTCACGGTTCACCATACCTGGATATGGCACTCTGCCCTTTGTTACCAGTTCCGTCTGTAGAATTCCCAATGACCAGACATCAGACTTTATTGTAAACCCACCATACAGTGCAGCTTCAGGAGCTGTCCATTTGATTGGAAATTCTGCACCTTGTCTTGCTGTGTATTCATTGTCTTCAATTAACCTTGCTAAATCAAAATCTGCTATTTTGCCCACAAGATTTTCTCCTACAAGAATATTAGCAGCCCGGAGATCTCAGTGAATATAATTCATTCTTTCAATATATGCCATACCATCAGCAATCTGAGCAGCCATATCAACCATTTGTAGAAGCTTCAAATACTTTCCATCTCCTTCCTTCAGTCCTTAAGGAAATCTAATAAGCTTCCTTTTGACATATATACAGTGACAATGTAAATTGGCTCTTCAGAAACAACAGCATATAGTGGAACAAGTTTACCATGTCTTTTTTTTTTTTTTTTTTTTGTCATTATCTGAGCTTCTTGAAGGAAAGTTTCGGGCATCATTGTGCCTGGTTTTAGTGTTTGATTGCTACTTTTGTGGTTCCATTCCATGTTCCCATCCACATTTTGCCAAAACATCCTTGTCCTAGTTTAACCTCTAGTCGCAAAATTCTCAAGGGATTTCCCAAGCATCTTTTGCTAGACCTTGAGTCTGAGGTTTCACAGTTGGACACACAGTTGTTAACTTGTGGCATACACTATCAGCATGTTCTGTGTAGTGTTTTGCCAATTTCTGCAGAGCATCCAATTGTTCTCTGGTTGTGATATAGTATCCACTATTGACAAGTTTCCTAATTTTGTAGTGTTTCACATTGTCACCCCTTACCTCATCCCAATCACGAATAGAGAGGGAATAAGCACCTTTAGTAGTTTCACTCTCTCATTTTTGTTTTGTTTTGTTTTGTTTGTTTGTTTGTTTTTTAGATGGAGTTTTTGCTCTTGTTGCCTAGGCTGGAGTGCAGTGGCATGATCTTGGCTCACTGCAACCTCCGCCTCCCAGGTTTAAGTGATTCTGCTGCCTCAGCCTCCTGAGTAGCTGGGATTACAGGCGCTCACCACCACGTCCAACTAATTTTGCTTTTTTTTTTTTTTTTTTTAGTAGAGACGGGGGTTTCACCATGTTGGCCAGGCTAGTCTAGAACTCCTGACCTCAGGTGATTTGACCGTCTTGGACTCCCAAAGTGCTGGGATTACAGGCGTGAGCTACCACGACCAGCCGTTTCACTCTCTCTTCCTAAGAAAATATATTGATTTCCAGGATTCAGAAGTAATCTTTCAGCATCTTTTCTCCCCATTTTGCGAAAATACCATTCTTCTGCCTGAATGGAATCTGCAGGCGCTACAACTGCTCAGGATATAACCATTCTTTCCTGTAGCGATTGATCTTGCTTTCCACCAGTCTCCTTCCGTATTGTTAATTACTTGAAATCTTTCACCCTTCTTAAATGAAAGGTCTTCTGTAGCTCTAGCTTCATAATCATATAAGGCCACAAATATAGTAACACCACCTGTTAAACCAGCAGGATATGAACTTGGCACCACTGAGAATAAGGAAGATGCACCTCCAAAAGGTGTTACCCCTGAGGATCCTCCAAATGGTGTCATGGAAAGACTGCTGAAATTAACTGCTGTTCCCTTTGCTGAAAATGACGGACATGGTGACACTGCAGCGGGTTCTGCTCCTATGGCTCACCCTTGTACGGACAGGCTCTGGAGTATTTTCAGGTATTTAATGGCTGGAATTTCGTTTTCTTTGCTTTTAATGCAGCCCATTATCAAATCTGTCCTCCAGCTGTGCTCTCATGAGTCGCTGCTGCTGCAGCTCCGGGTGGTGGGAGGGGGCGGTGGGTGGAGGGGAGGCCCCGGGGCGCTCTGCCTCCTCCACCTCCTCGTCCCCCATTTTTGAAGGAAATTTTTGCTGGGAATAGAATTCTAGGCTGGCAATTATCTCTCTCTCCTTTAACGATGGCCATTTCATTGTCTTTTTTTTTTTTTTGGAGACAAAGTCTCCCTCTGTCACTCAGGCACCATGGTGCAATGGCACCATCTCAGCTCACTGCAACTCCTGCCTCCCGGGTTCAAGCGATTCTCCTGCTTCAGTCTCTTGAGTAGCTGCAATTACAGGCGTGCACCACGCCTGGCTAATTTTTGTATTTTTCGTAGATACGGGGTTTCACCATGCTGGTCAGGCTGGTCTTGAACTCCTGACCTCATTATCCGCCCGCCTTGGCCTCCCAAAGTGCTGGGATTACAGGTGTGAGCCACTGTGCCCAGCCTCACTGTCTTTTTTAAAAACCATTTTTCTTAAGATGTCAGTCAGTCAAATTGTTGCTCTTTAAAAGTATTGTGTCTTCCCCACTGTTCACCATGGCTTTTTTTTTTTTTTTTGAGACGGAGTCTTGCTGTGTTGCCCAGGCTGGAGTGCAGTGGCGCGATCTTGGCTCACTGCAAGCTCCGCCTCCCGAGTTCATGCCATTCTCCTCCCTCAGCCTCCCGAGTAGCTGGGACCTCAGGCGCCCGCCACCACAGCCGGCTAATTTTTTTGTATTTTTAGTAGAGACGGGGTTTCACCGCGTTAGCCAGGATGGTCTCGATCTCCTGACCTTGTGATCCGCCCGCCTCGGCCTCCCAAAGTGCTGGGATTACAGGCGTGAGCCACCGCGCCTGGCCTGTAAAATTCTTAGTATTATCTTTTCAAATATTGCTTTTGCCCTATTCTCTCTCTCCTCTTTCTGAAACTCCAAACCTACATGTGTTTAAGAATGTCTCGTGTGTCTCTAATGTTCCTGTTTCTTTTTTTGATTCCTTTTCTCTGTGCTTCAGTTTGAGATTATCCACTGACCTGCCTTCCTATTTATTTTGTCTTGAACTATCTAACCAATCTGCTATTGAACTGAACCATTAGTTCTAATTTCAAATATAGTACTTTCTGTTCTAAAGTGTTTAAGTCTTCATAATAAATTCAAATTATCCTGAAATTATGTATCCCTTCATCTATTTTGTCGATCTTTTTCTCTTTTTTCTTGAACATATGATTCATAGTTATTTTAAAGTTATTGTCTGCTAACTCCAATATCTGACTCACCTGCTGGTCTGCTTTTATCGCCTTGTTTATGATTCACATGATCTTGCTTCTTAGCATGTCTCATAATTCTTTACTGTATGCTAAACACTATACAGTCCTTATATAATGTTATTGCCTACCTGTAAAAAAGACAGAAAAGGGTTCCCTTTGTACTCTGGTAAGCAGGTAAGGAGGGAGCTCATCATCCAATAAGGGATGGCGCTAGGTTGGGTTGTCATTTTTGTAGGACCCCGTCTGCTTCTGCCTTGACCCTGTTTCTAAGGCATGCCCTCCATGGAGTTCAAGGAGAGACTTTTATTTCCTTAGCACTGGATTCAGTTCTGCCCGTAACAAGTTTTCAGCTTAGCTCTTTGGCCTCCCACCCTACTCAGCTTGAAAACTTGGCATGTGTTTTGAGAGGGTGACTAATCTCACATGTGGGGCTCTCCTCTAGTCTTATTTTTAAACTCTAGCTCCAGAAACCTTTTCTGTATTTTTTGTCTCCCAGAAGCAGCCAAGCCTGGATGCTCATCTGCCTGCTACACCTGAAATCAGACACCCTGGGTGAAAAGTAGCTGTAGATACTCAATGTCACCAGACCACTTCCTCTAAGGTTTTCACCTCTCGCCCATTCTGTTTCCAGCCTCCAGCCTCCAGCAGGTCTGTTTCCTAGGCACTGTAAGGCTGTAGGAGATTTCAATGTGCCTTCCAGAAGTTTCTGGCCTCTCTCTTCAGCTCCCCTCCAACCTCAGATTTCACCAAATGTCGTATGGGGAAAATCGGTCATGCATTTGAGTGCCCCATCACACTCCCAACCAAATATCCAATTTGTCAATCCAGTATGACCAGAAAACCTGGGCTAGTATCTCTTTCAAAGCTAATAGCAGTCCTCTGCCTCTGCTCACATCTCCAGAACTAGCACGCTTCCACAGAAAATAAAATACCTGGCGCTCCTTGGTGCAGCTCGGGATGAGCCTCCCGTCTCTGGAACTGTCCCTCACTGCTTCCATAGCACTCTGAAGCCTTTAAGAATGCGACTTTTATGGCATGCTCAGCTTTTTATACCTGTTAGCATCTCAAAATTGATACTATATTTTGCACTACTAATTACTTTCAATGAATTTCTAAATATTTATAAGACATTGAGTAGTCTTAATATGTTCCAAAGTACAGTTTAAATATGCTTTTGAAAGAAAAGCATCAGTAAAACAGTTACTTCTTACCTCTTCATAAAACTTCACCTGAGGTACAGCTTCATTAATTTCATTCAAACAAAAATCTTTAAATAGCAAGAAACCTAAAGGAAAAAAATAAAAAATTTCAGGGTGGGCAATTAATTGAAATTTTATCCCACAAGGGTGTTTTCAAAGCAATGTGTTTATACCTCAACCTCTTCCTCCTCTACTTTTAAAAAAAAAAAAATTCAAGAAACTAATTAATTAATTAATTAATTAATTCCTAGAAATTAATTAATTCCTAGAAGGAAATACTCTGGGCAGAAAAATACCACATACTTGGCTCATTGCTTCAGGATTCCTTCTCTATTGATGTTCCCCCCTCCCCACTCCCCACTTTCTACATACTTTCTACAAAAGTATGATACAACAGGGCTGACTTTCGCGACCATCACTTGGAGCCGCTGACCATTGTAGTGACCAAAATAACAACCAAAGGAATAAGAGATACAGACAGTATGGAAGTGCTGGTGAGAATCACCAAGACACTAATAAACACTATGCCCACTAAAATAGGACTAAACTCCCTTAAAAAACAAAAACAAAAACAAAAACAAAAAACTTTCAAAAAGAACTTTCCAAACCTTTCTAGTCCCTTCTCTTGCCACTTACTCACTATTTCCAAGTCCCTACCAAATATCTAGTGCCAGAGCAGATTACCCACTCCCAGGTCATTCTTTAGTCCTTCACAACTACATGCCTCACCTTTAAATACCTTTGCCTAGAATACCACGCCCCTCTCTGTATCTTGAAAATTCCTAAAATAACCAGAATTGAACTCAAAGGCCGCCTGTGCTCTGAAGTCTTCTCTGATGAGACAGCCCCTATTGCACAATGCCTGGTACACAGTAGGTGGTCAAAAAATGTGCATTGAATGAATGGTTGTTTACTTAGCCTTTCCAATATTCTGTCAAAATATTTACCACACACTAATTAGTTACCTGATTTATAAGGCTCCCACTCCATTTGAAATCCTAGTGCCTAGCTTAATGCCTAATGGTCACGCCTAGATAAACAAAGTTGAATAGAACAAGCTGATACCAGACTGAAGGTAGAGATACTTGAAGATTATAAAATTCCAAAAAGTCAAAACAATTACATGGAGAGTTCGCAGAAACAGAAGCCGCAGAAAGGAACTGAAGAAAGACTCACAAAGTCTACCACATAGAGATGAAGTGGACCAGAATTCCCCAGGTGGGACTGTAAAAGGAAGTGGCTGTGATGAGATTTTAATTAACATTAGCATAAGGATCTTGTAACTTGAACTGGTCTGTGACTGATCCATAAATTCCCCTCCATAGTTCCTGGAATATGGCCTTTGAAAACGGTAAGCGTTCGTTCACTCAAACTAGAGTAGAATGACAAAGAGTGCTAGTTAAATAGGCACAGCCAGACTTTACCAGGGTCAGGCACACACCTGCAGGGGGAGCACAGCCACGCTCCTCCCATGGAGAAACTGTGATGACCCCAACATAGGCAGGAAGTAGGAAATTCAAGAAGCAGGCAAATGGGAAGGATACATCTCTACCTGTTTGTATGTTAGTATTCTGATTTGAAGAGTAATGATTGTTTCTTGATTTTCATTCATTTCAAAGGATTTCCTAATTTCCCTTGTTATTTCTTCTTTGATCTGTGAGTCCTTCAGAAGGGTGTAGTTTAATTTCAAAATATTTGGGGATTTTTCAGACACTGATTTCTGTTTAGCTCTGTTTGCGGTCAGAGAACATGCTTGGTATGATTTCAATGCTTTTAAAATGCATTGAAACTTTTAGTCTATCTAGGTGAATGCTGTATGGCACTTGAAAAAAATGTGCATTCTGTTCTTGTAGGGTGGAGTGTTTCATTTAAAAGAATACAAAGGCAATTAAACCAAGTGGGCTTGATAGAGTTGTTCAAGATGGTCCTCTGCAGCAACACAAATGGAACTGAACGCCATTATCCTAAGTGAAGTAAGTCAGAAACAGAGAGTCAAATACTGCAGGTTCTCATTTACAAGTGGGAGCTAAACAATGGGTACACATGGACATAGGGAGTAAAATAATAGACACTGGAAACTCCGAAAGGCAGGAGGATAGGAGAGGAGTGAGCCATGAAAAATCACACACTGGGTACAATGTACACTAAAAGCTCAGAGTTCACCACTATGCAGTGTATCTATGTAACAAAATTGCACTTGTACCCCCTAAATACATCAAAATAAAAGATCATCCTCTGAATCTTTACTGAATGTCTATTTATTCTCTTTTGTTTGTTTGTTTGTTGTTTGTTTTGAGACAGAGTCTTGCTCTGTCGCCCAGGCTGAAATGCAATGGCAAGATTTTGTCTCACTGCAACCTCCACCTCCCAGGTTCAAGTAATTCTCCTGCCTCAGCCTCCCGAGCAGCTGGGATTATAGGCACCCACCACCATGCCCGGCTAATTTTTGAACTTTTAGTAGAGATGGGGTTTCACCATGTTGGCCAGACTGGTCTTGAACTCCTGACCTCAGGTGATCTGCTCGCCTCGGCCTCCCAAAGTGCTGGGATTACAGGCATGAGCCACCACGCCTGGCCATCTGTCTATTTTTTCTATTCATCATCAACAGTAAAGTGTTGAACTCTCCATTTGTAATTGTAGATTTGTTCATCTTTTTTCAATGTTGTCAGTTTTTGCCACATATATTTCTTTTTCTATTTCTGGAAGAGAAAACTAACATGAGAATTTGAACTTAAGTATTTTGATCAAATCAGAGATATTTTCAAAATGTCTAAATGACAAAATGAAATAATACCACACATGGACCACTGTCTTTTGACTACACTTGGAATCAAACTGAAACTCTTTACCACAGCCTACCCACACCCTACCCACACCTTCTAGAGTCACCATTTCCTTCTCTGGCCTCATCTCACAGTGCTCTCCTCAAGCTCACTTCACTTAGGCCAAGCTTCTGTACTGCGGTTTCTCTAATACCAAGCTCATTCCCTTCTCAGGGTTTCTTACCGGCTATTCCCACTGTCTCACACACTTGTCCTGGATCTTCTAGATGAACAGCTCACTAGCTCACTTAAAATACCCCTTTCCTTGAGGAGGCCTTTCATGATTCTCATTCATTCTCACTGTCCTGCTGTCTATCTCGCATGCATTCACACACACACACCACAAAACACTTTGTAGCACTTACGATGAGCAAAAATTGTCACATGTTTATATTTGCTTCTTTACTGTCTACCTCTCCCACTACAATGTAAGCTGCAATGCATAGGGTACAGGTGTTTTATTCTCTACTACATTTGCACAAGAGGATTGACTGTGACAAAGACAGAGCTCAGGAGAGAGAATAAAGGAAAAAAGGTAGCAGAGAGAGAATAGGTACAAGGAGAGGGAGGGAAGTGGGTGGAAAGAAGGAAGGAAGAGGACAGAAAGAGGAGAGATGAGGGAAAGAGGGAGTTGAATGAATGAACATCCAGCTTAGAATGTGTTTATGTACTTCTTTAAGGAAATTTCCATTGTTGGTGGGTAGAATAAGCCAAGGACTTAGTTTAACACACTATAGGAAACACAAAATATTATTTTCCTCCTGTGTGCACATAAACTGAAGCTTTACCTTCTATCAGCTGTTTAAATGGAGCTGTTAAAATGAAGCAGCAGGAAGAAAGATATTTGCCTTTTGGCTAAATCCTGAATCACTAGGACCTCCTAAATGTCCTAGGCTGAACACAACTTACCTTCATCAGCCTTAAATTATATAAAAAGTAAATGAAGCATGGCCTAGATTAGGGCAAAATATAAGAGGCAAAAATAAGGAAATACTTTGCCTAACAAGCTCACTTCATCATTGCAATTTCTCCAGATCTTAAAGAGTAAAAACTAGTGGCCTAACACCTGCTTAGTAGATATCTATGAAATGTGTTTACTTTGTTTCTATATTTGAACCACTGCAAAATGCTGAATATTAACTTTTTAGCGTATGTAACACCCAGGAAAGGCAAACTATCCCAATTTGCCATCACGATAATTTTTCAAAAATTAGTAGAAAGAATTGTATTGCTTTTTATAAAATGTAAGTTAAGAGCTTTTGAAAGTATTAAATATAAGTGGTTTCTATGAGAAAATTTGAAATCTCCTAAAAATTAGAAAGGTGAAAAGAGAAACATGAAAATTTTCTTGCGAGAAAAAATACTTGTCCTCAGTTTTACCAAGGAGATTAAGACACTAGGAAGGAGAGGAGACTGCATAACTGCTAAAACTTCCTCCCAATATTGACTGATTCTAGAAAACATTTGCTGAGTATCTACTAAGAGCCACTGTGTTACTCACTGAGGATGTAATTGTGAAAACAGTGTTTTTCCAATACGGGGCTTATGGATTAGTGTAAGAGACAGACAACAAAGAAATAAACACATACAATTTATAACAAGGAATATATAGTAATTAAATATGATGCTGAGATAATGATAAAAAGAGGAAGATGTATTTCAGAAAGAACGGTCAGTAAGGCCTTTCTGAGCTGTGAGATAAACAAAATACAATGCATGTCAGATAAGAAAAAAGCTGGAATATGTAATCTCACTCCTCTTCAACACTGTATTGGAGGTCCTAGCCAATGCAATAAAGTAAGAAAAGGAAATAAAGGTTTTCCAAATTGAAAAGGAAGAATTAAAACTGATTCTATTCAATCTGGTTACCTACCTGGCAAATCCTATCTTTGTCAAATCCAAAGTAACTACTAGAATATGCAAGTAAATTTAGCAAGGCCACAGGATATTAGGTCATTAGATAAGAACCAATGAAATTCTTATAAACTCATAGCACACAATTTTAAAATGGAATTTTAAAAACAAGTCAGTTTGTAATAACAAAGAACTATCAATACATAGGAATAAATAAATAAATGACATACAAGACCAATATGCTAAAAACTATAAAATGTTACTGAGAGAAATTAAAGAAGATCTAAATAAATGGAAATATATACTCAGTTCATGGATTGGAAGATTCAGTATTGCTTAGATGTTAATTCTCCTCAAATTAATTTGTAGATTCAGTGCAATTACAATCATAAGTCCAACAGGCCTTTTTA